AAACGTAATTTCTGTAAAAACAACAGAGATCGTGGGATACAGAGGGAGAATAGAGAGAGATAGGAGAGGAAGGATAGGTGGAAGCAAGGTAAAAGGAACATGGGTTTGTGGAACAGCAGTGGGGAAATTGAACGGGCAATACAGAACTGGGAATTTAGAGTTTCAAGTCTGAAACTCAAAGGCAAGTTCTTATCTTCCTTCTTCCCTTTGATTTGTGTTCTGTGCACCTGGACATCTCTAGGAGATTAATTGGCCTTAAACTGAACCATGCATGTTTTATATATGTTTTACTTGATCGTTTTATCTATGAAATTTATTTACAAAACAATTATAGCACGTATGTTTTCTTGACTCTGTTTTGGCATAACGTCTCACTGATTAATTTTTATTTTGAATCCTACTGAAATCAACCGAGGTCTGATTGGATACTAGATGTAATTTAAGACTTCAAATTTAAAATTGGAGGAAGAACAGAGGGGTTGGGATAAAATTGATGTCGCAATTTAGTTTCAGTATTGTTTTTCAACTATGCTAGTTTAAATGGCTTGATTAAACTCTGTAATTGTTTGCAAAACTATTGTAAACAATCTTGGGGAATGCTTCTAGACTAAATTAATAGTCCTAAGATTAGTTTTAGAGACCAACAAAGTGGTTGGATTTGATCAGAGAAGGAGCGGACGGACTGAAACGAAGCAACGGGGACAGGGGCTCTCAAAGGAGGTGAGAGCCGGCTCCATAGAAGTGGGAGCCGGCTCCCACAACAAAGTAGAGCAGGCTCTAAGAAGTCCTAGAGCCGGCTCTAGGCTGGAAAAGAGCCTGCTCCAAATTCTGGAGCAGGCTCCCTTGTTATTTTTGGTTTATTTTAAGTTTTTTTAAATTTTTCTACGTACTATGTTCACTGTTTGGGCAACCTGGGTTATTAATCAGTTTTAAAATTTTAGTTGGGTGTTAAATAATAATTTTAACTTGTAACTAAGGTCTTGAATTGCATAAATTTATCCCTTAGTTTAAATGGAATTAACAGTACGCTATTTGACAACTTTGCGTACAGTTAACGGCTGGAAGGAGATTTGTTGATTAATTTTAATCTGATGGTTTAGGGTGCTATAAAATGATTTTAAATTTATTTTAGATGCACGATGAAGTCTTTTAAAGTAATATATTGGACTTGTGGCATAGTGGGGGCTCTGTGCTAAAGGTTACAACACAATATAAGTATATGACTTAGTATTCTGTTACCAGATGGAGGGAACTAGATCGCTTAGTTTAATTTAGCGATTTATTGGACTATAATATTATTATAGAACTAATTTTAAATACATGATAGGGTCATTGTTTTGTTAAATTTGAACTATGCATGTGTTGGATGTTAATTGTTAGAATAGTTTATTCTCCGATGCAATTATATGGATTATTACTGGATTTTATTTGCTAGATTGTTAAGACTCCTTCTGCAAGAATTGGATGGTGGTTTTTGGTCTGTAAATTATTGAACTGTTATATATGTTGTAATTTACATGGATATGGAGGATTGTATGTACCGGTATGGGATGGTGACATACTAGGGACGGTTTAGCTCAAAACGCATAAACGTAACCTAATGGATTAATGGAATGGATTGAAAGATATCGAATCCTAATTGTGGCTAAGTCAAATCAGCTGTAACCAAGTTGGATGACTTCCTGGATTAACGGATGGTAGTTAAGTCATATCAACTGAATAAGTTGAGTGACTAACTAGTTGGTTTATTGTATGTCAGTTTAATAAATAGTTGAACTGCATACCCTGGATTTGGACGGACTTTATGTATATGTTTATGGTACCACGAGTTGAGCTTGAGTCTCAGACTCGTTGGTTAGGGTGCGTATATGCAGTGGATGCGTAGCTGGTTATAATAGGTTGAGGTGTACCCTGTTAGATCTAGGTACTCATGCCCACCTTTGGGTGCGTATTCGCATGTTGCCTTCTATTCAGGTTGAGACCCCTATTATAGACTAGTGAATGTCCCTTAGTGTGGATGTATTTATACGTATGGACTAGATAGATATGGTGAGGTGTCTACGGTGTATCTGCGTATCGGGTCACTGTATGGATTGCAGTTAGATTAGAACTTGCTCGTGGGTCTGACCCACTCCTTTATTATTCTTTTCAGGTACAGGACGGTTCCAGCCATAGAGCTTGATCGTGCTTGTCGAGGACAGTCTCACCTTCATCTGATTACGTAGGACTTCTCTCGATATTTCTAGCATTATCTATTTTCAGTGTTCAGTTTCAGTTGAACTTTTGGTTAGGGGTCCATCAGTGGATTCCCAAGTTGTAACCTTGAAGTTTTGGAGGATTGGAGTTTCAATTTTCAGTTGTACATGGAGGATTTTATAATTAATGTTTCTTTCAGTTTTATTCTATCTTTATTGTTCTTTTTGTCATCTGTGTTTGTTTTAAAATACTTTAATTGTTTGATATTCTCTCGGGTTTGGGCCTGTGCCTGATCAACCCGTGTCTCGGATCCGAGGGGTATCACAACGCGCGAACTTTATAGGGCTAATTTAGAGCTACTAACCCCCAGGCAGCCTACCCAACGCGCGAACTTTTGACTTAGAGGACTCTTGTCCTCGTACTAGAGCCAAACCCTTGCCATCACAGCTTAACAATGTCCCAAGCAACTCCAAAATAAATAAGTTAACAACTTATACACATTACTACTACATAGTAACAAGTTAGCAATATAATTCTCAATTGTGCATAATAAGCATTTCATATCCATTATGCTACGAAATCACAAGCCAACAATATCATCATATAAAAACATACTCTCATGAATATAAATTTAACAACAATGCTCTTCACTGCATATAACACAATCTAATGAATACAGCACAAGTCCAAATCCATGTTCTTAAAATAGAAATAACTTCCAAAACATGATTAGATCCATGGATACACAAGATAGAATTTAATTACATCAAAATAATTAAACTCTCTAGATTTCAAATCATTTCCAATTGGCCCCAATTTAATATATGTTAATAGATATATCATGGTCATTACATATATTCACACACAAGCTTAATTAGGCCCATGAAACCACCAAAATAGATTTTAATTAATTCCCTTAATTAAAGTCTCTAGATTTCCAAATTCAATCAAATGCTCTCAAATTAAAGTATGTTAACAAACATGCTAAAACTTAATTTAGAAGCATAACACAACTCAATTCCATGCAAGGTATGGCCATGAACTTAAATCTTTCACAAAAGATAAATATTAATTAAAAAGAGTAATTCTTATTTAATTAATTCTAATTTAATATATGTTAACCAACATATTAAAATAAGAGTTTCTACCATGCCACAATTCAAAACCAAGTTTCTTATCACCATGAAAATTAAATCTTATACAAATAATTAAATATTTCAAATTTCTTAGATTCGATACAAGGCATGCATATAGGTTGTATAAACATGGAAAACACACAATACAACACATATAAAATCCTAAAACATTTCCTACCTCCATTTGAGATAAAATCTCAAATCCCCACCAAAATAAATCGGCTTCGAATCCGATGAAACTCCTAGGTTTTGTCGGGGACAACACCACGAACATGAATCCCAAGGAAGCCCCATCAAAAACACAACTTCACTTCAAACCCGAACTCAAGAAATGGCCAAAATGATATTCTAATCGGTTGGAATCGAAGGCCTCGCCGAGGGGAGCAATAAACACAAACACATCGCCACTTTTTAATGAAGGGAAGAAGTCCAAAAGAGGAGAGAGAAGATGGCAGCCATGGATGGAGCTTGGACTGGCCATGAGAGAGGAGAGAGAGAGAAAAATCTGATTTTTCTTTTTAAGACCTCCTATTTATAGAAAAACTCAAAAAGTGCCCCGAACGGGCCCCGCCGGGTCCGGAAAAGTGGAATTCGCATAGACGCGCTCAAATGGTAAAACTCCGTGAACGAAAAAGATTCCAAATGAGAAAATATGAACAACGGAAGAAACAACGTAAAAAATTGAGTCCCGAGTAGAGAGTTATGCCCAAAACAAGTTTGGTGCAAACTAGGGCCTAAAACTGGAAAACATCGTCCAGGAGGAATTTCTAAGAGTCCGTGACTCGACGAAATGTGAAAATGAATCCCGTACGAGGATCCAGGCTCAAAAAAAGGCATTAAGCAATAACTTTCATTAATTGCATAATGACCCCTCCAAAAAGTGAAAACTGCGAAACTGCCCTAGAATGAAAATATCTTCCAAAAGATATTTTCTTAGATACCCCTGAAATAAAATATCTTCAAAAGATATTTATGAAAAACACCCCAAGACAAGAAAAAGTTTCCAAAGAACTTTGCATTTATGTCCCTATGGACACTAGGAGCAACCAGAGTACTTTCTCACGAAAGTAAAGACACGTATCTCATAGAAATCATTGAGAATGAAGATACGTGAAGTCAGAAACTAACTTCGAACACAAGAAGTGTGGTTACACAAACAGAGTGACAAACGAGGAAAAGACGAAATAGGGGAAAAGATAAAATAGGGAAAAGACAAAAAGTGAATAGTGTCAAAAAAATGAAAAGTGCGGAACTGAATTGGTCCTCAAAGGAAGTTGTCAATCCACAGAAAAGAGTCTTGAAAATCACTCCAGAGCACTCGAGACGACACTAATCAACAAGAAACCAAACTCATAAGGGAAAAGACAACGGAAAAAAATTTATCCGAAAAATCAGGGTCATTACAGTTCAGGGAGTGACAGGATACCAAAGGGCTAATTCCAGGCATGTCTGAGTGACTCCAGGCAAATACATCGGCATTGTGGGATAAGAAATCAATAATTCCTGCTTTTCCCTCTCGGTGAGTCTGACTCCCACTCGAGAAGATCGCTTTGGCCTGGATTGATCGATCTGTACATCAATAAGGGGTTCTTCAGTCAAGTCCACTGGCTCTTCCTCCCCATTCTACTTGGGTGGAGGTTTCTGTAATTTCTATCTCGGGCACGCCGATCAGACAGGTGTTTTTCCTTTCCCAGTAGATTTCAGTGTCACTGAATAACATTCCTTAGCTGCAACTTGGTCCCCATGAATGTCGATCACCTTGGTGTCGTCTGGCCCCAGGTGTCTCATTACATAGTGCAAAGTAGAAGGAACACCTTGAACTCTGTGGATCCACCCTCTGCCCATCAGAAGGTTGTAAGAGGGATGAATCTCGACAACCACAAAGCTCTTCATTAGAACCCTCTCTGCAGTATGCACTGCTACTTTCACTGTACCGATGGGCTCCACTCGTTTTCCATCAAACCCTAGCAAAGGATTCCCAGTGGGCTTGAGCCGGTCTGGCTTGATCTCGAGCCGATCAAATGTGTCCCTCGGCATGACGTTCGCACTACTTCCAGGATCAATCAGAACTCTGCGTACCAAACATTCGGCCACTGTCAAACTGATGACTAACGAATCTTCATGAGGAATCTGAATGCGTAATAAGTCGGTTCTGTTAAACTTGATTTGCGTTGATGCGTTCTGCTGATGCAGAGTGTTTACACTACCTATCATCCTCTTCATCTGTGCCTGTCGGAGGCGCTCTCTAAGCAGTTCTTCTGACTCTTCAGCCAGTTTGGGCCTACCATGAATCGCATTGATTATACGAACTGGTTGTGAGTTGTGAGAGCTCGGCTTCTGATTCTTTTTTACTTGCTCCATTTATCGGTTCTGTTCCACTGCCGTGCCTTGGATATAACTTGCGAACTCCCCTCTGGCTATCAGCATCTTTACCTGCCTCCTTAAGTTCCTGCATTCATTAGTCTGATGGCCAAAGTCGGAATGGAAAGCACAATGCTTAGACTGGTCCCTCTGGTCGAGGGGCTGCCTAATAGGTAAAGGAGGTCGAAACTTATCTTTATTTTCTTGGTACAGCTTTGCCAGTGTGACTTTCAGCGGAGTAACTAGCTCTTCCTCTCTGGGTCTCTTCTCAGCTTTCCAAGAGGTCTGACACTGTGGCTGAGCCTACTTTTGCCTAATTTTTGCTTTGGTTTTCTCTTTTGTTGTTATTATGGATGTCTTCCGAGCGTTAGCTGGTTCTTTTTCTTCTAAGCGTACAAAACCATCAGCTCTTTCATTCAGCTTGTCCATGGTCTATGGCATGTTTACCACCAGGCTTATGTGGAACAGAGTCCCACGAATCATGGCTAGCTTGAATGCTTGAGCCACCGTGGACGGATGGCACTCGATCACCATGCTCTTGGTTAAATTGAATCTGGTAAGAAAGGCTTGGAGGCGTTCATCTTTATGCTGCCGCATCGTGAACAGACTGGAGACATCTTTTGCCGGGCGTTTATTCCTATAGTACTGGCTGATAAACCGATCGCAAAGGCTTCAAAAACTATCAATCGAGCCCTTCGGTAAGTTTTTGAACCAATTGAGCGCTGGTCCAGTTAAGCTTGTTGGAAAACATTTGCACATTAAAGAGTCGTTCTCCGTGTTCAGAGCCATTTTCAATTAGATATGATATACATGATCGATCGGATCAGTCGTTCCATCAAACAGGATAAAAACTGGCATGGAGAATTTCCTCGAACTTAGAGCATTCAGAATTTCATCGGTAAACGGCGAGTCAACCATCCGAGTTGCTGAACGAAGGGCCTCATTCTCTCTATGGAACCTTGCGGCAGCTCTCTAATCCGTAAATCTCCTTTCTGAGCTTCGGTAGTCTAAAGTAGACATTGAAGGTCGATAAAGCGAATCAGAAGATCTTTCCTCCATATATTCCTTCTGCCAGATCGGTGTGGTTTTGTGATGTGCAAACTCCACAGTTTCTTCTCGGTTGAACCTCTCCTGGTTCGAATTAAAAGTCATTGCCTCGTTCCGCCTGATCTGCTCACATCATGGATCTAAGTGAATTGAGCCTTCTCAATCATCAAAACGACGAGGATTTGGCGGCAAATCGTCTAGCCTAACCTCCTCGTGATGAGGATTTGGCAGATTGTTCTCTTCCTCTTCACCTTAACGCGCAACAATAGGATGCATAACCTCTTCACCCGCCGGAAGTGGTTGCAGAATCGCCGGAGCTTTTTGGCGCTTCATTCTCTCTCCTGAGAACTTCGATCATGTTCATCAACTCATCGAGCTTCATCTACTGGACATTCTCCACCGGATTGGAGCTCTCGCCTCCTATCATGATTCTGAAGTGAAGCAAAGGCATGAATCACAAGATTTTAATCAGATTTGAGCTTTACTGATGCAAATCTTGTCGCCTCTGGACTCAGATTCACTGAATCGCGATCACAGCTCGCGAGATCCGAGCTTTTCTAGCTTCTAAGTCACTGGATCTAGCTGCGATCAAGCAAATCTCAGTTGTATAATTCTGACGCAAACACAGCAAAACCAACAGTAATCAAGAATTTCTTCAGAAAAAAACTGCAATCTCTCCAATCTGGATTCAATTTCTAGAAATCTTGCTTCGTCTTCATGGATTAGTTTGACATCGATCAAGCATGAATGAATGTTCTTCATCGTTTCCCGCAGACGGCACCAATTGTAAATGCAAGAAAATCTCTCCTTCCATTTTGACAGAATTTTAGTACATTTCACAATAATCCCCTTTTTTCACTCCCTTCATCTCCTATTTATAGGCAATTACAGGTGTTGTTGGACTATTAACTTTGGGCCTAATTTCCAGTGGGCTTGGCCTTCTTAGATGGATCCTCCGAGCTCGGCCCATTCTGTGGTGCTCCTGTATGGGGTGAATTCAATTGTTTGCCCCGATGCCACGTCCGCGGGTCATATCCAACCCATATTACTTCTAGTATCCTCAGAGGCACATAAATTTTGGGGGCAATCATTACACCGCAATTTTCAGTAGTCAATTAGAAAATGGCACGTGGCAAGTTCCAATGGAACTTATAGTAGTAGATTCTTATGCCAATGGCCAGTAAGTGCTTGGCACGTGGCCATATAAAGGTGAATGGATTACCAGCAGCTAAGATCCTATTTGTACCACAAATTATCAGTCAATTTCCAATGGAAGGTTAATAGGTGGCCGATTACAACTTTTTAGTGAAAATTGGTATCTTCCAAGCACTTTGGCAAGAAACTAATCAATGTAACTATTTGTACTATAATTATCGATTAATTTTTAGTGAAAAGTTGTCGTAGCCGATTCCAATAGAAGGGTGATATGCAGACAATGATATAATCACAAAGTAGCACGTGGATTCATCTGATAAATCCATTTGGCAAAGTAATTGCATAGGGACACGTGATAAATTTCTAGGATGCTAGTTATGGTTAAAAGTTGTATCCTCCAAATGGGACATGTGGCAGGCAAAGAGGTAAGTAGTTACTTGTATTTGCGAAATCGTCGATCACTACTGAGTGAGACACATGGCAGGCAAAAAGATAAACAATTACGTGCAGTTGGAAAGTCGTGACCTTTGAACGAAACACGTGGCAAGCAACGAGGTAAATGTAGTTGGAAAGTCATGACCTTTGAATGAGACACATGGCAAGCAAAGGAGTAAGCAACTACCTGCAGTTTAAAGTTGTTGTGTCTTCCAAGTGGGACACGTGGCAGTTTTCTAGTGGAAGAGCGGTTATTCTAGTGGAAGGTTCTTATAGTAAAGTAACAGAAAAAATAGAACATGGGTGTAAGCAGAGCACAACACATGGAAACATATGACACGTGGAGAATTTTCGGTGGAAGAGCGTGGTGGAAAGCAATTATTCTTGTGGAAAGTCGTGCGAAAAAGTAGCAAGAAAAGCTAGTACAAACATAGAGCAAGAGATGAGATGAATTAGGGCAACATGAGATACTTGGCAAACTGTGATTAAAACAACGTAACTGCCGATTTTAGAAACTCTATAAATAGGACACACTTGCAATTTGCAAACCCTATTCAATTCACAACGCAAACAACATTTTATTATCTTTCAATTCAAGTCTTGTACTTTTCATTATCTTTTTACATTCCAATAATGTGTTTCAGCAATTGTCCTTTCAATATTTTACTTTCAAGTCCTGCATTTTCAATTTGTTTTCTTTTAGTCATAAAAATCTCCCACAGTGCTTTAACACAAGGGACAAAAAGAAACTTGGAGGTAGTATAACTTTAATTCCTCTACTTTCGGCAATTGCCCTTTCGGGTCCTACATTTTAAATTTGTTAACTTTCAGTTATAAAAATCTCCTAAAGTCATTTGCTACAAAGGCAAAAAAGAATGTTAGAGGTAGTCATTCTAGGCCTCCTCTCAATTGAATGATCTTGTAAACTTTGATCTGGAATATTGTTTGGAGTCTTCACTTGGAACTTTTTGAGTTCCCGTGACACCCCTAGTTCCATTGAAACTAGGGGTATAACTTAGGTTGGATAACCTGAACCCAACCCAAGTTTTCAAGGGGTTGGGCAATCATTTTCAAAATTAAGGTTGACCTGAATTGAAAAATCTCAACCTAAACTTAATTACAATTGAGCTTAGGTTGAGGTGCTAGCAACCCAAGCCTAATCCGAACATGAATTTTAATATTGTTTTCATATATATATATATATATTTAAATACATTATATTTAATATTCAAATTACGATCAGCTATTTTTCTTTTCAACTTCCTTTATTAAATATTAATTTATTGTTTGTTAACATTTAGAGGAATTATTTTTCTAAGAATTTTTTTGTAGTTTATTAAAATTTTGCAATAATTTTTTAAAATTTCTTTTTGTTTAATAGTAATTTAATGTGAAACTAATTAAAGATCACAATAAATTTTCTGTGTGGAGATTAGTCATATGGGTAATCTGAATTAACCTGACTTGATAACTAGGAATATAAGCCCGAATTGCAAATATGAGTTTAAAAGTTAAAGAATGGGTTAGACTCGGGTTGAGTAGTTAAGATTGAATATAAAGTTAAAATTGAACTCAAATTTAACATTTCATATGTTGAGTTGAGCTAAAAGAGTACCTCCAACCCTGCAACCCTTATTAAAACTGAAATTTTTACCGTCCAAATAACATGCATGGCAAAAGCGCATGATACATGCAAACCCGTAAGGTAGTATTTAAGTAATATCTCCTCAAACTCAAGTGGAGCTTGAGTTGAAGCCATCATTGGAAAAAACAAAAAATAGTACAAGCCAAAATATTACTAATTTGAAATTAACCTCACAACAAACTCTGATTATTTTTGTCCAAATGGATGCTCTCAAACTCAATCCGGTGACTCACTCGTGTAGCAACCATCATCATCATCATTATTATTATTATTATTATAGCAAACATCTAACGAATTAAGTAAAGCATATTTCTCCAACTTAAATAATTAAATTGTTTGATCGAAAAGAAAAACAAATGAGAGTTCACATTTCCGAAGTGACTGTTATGAACATAAAGCAGATAAAGATGAGGACGTGTAGAAGAGATGATGAGGAATCTCAAGGCTTTTTACTTAGATTAGACATTTTATTAAATGTCCCATCGGGGACAATTAGATTAGACATAATATTAGCTTTAATGACCCCCTTAATACAATATAGTTCACAATTCAATAATTAGAAAAAGATGTCTGATTTTGTAATCAGCACTCAATGTTATAATTAGCGAACACTGCTTTCCCGAGGGTCCTCACTAGCTCTACTTTCTCCACAAGCATCAAAAACAAAAGTAGCATTCAAATTAGTAGTACCGACAGTGCAAATGCTGTAAGAGTTCGA